CACTCTCAGATGGTAGAGACATTGATGTGGTGGGGGAGGGGCTAGATCCAATTTGTCCAAGTTCACAGGTTGTCCTCTTTGGCCCTGGAAACCTCAAAGTAGATGCTTTGGTTTCAGCTGCCCATCCACTCACCAGTTTTAGAGTTTAAGATTTTCTGCCCTTCAGATACTGTGCACAGTGGTTGCCACCATCTTGGAGCTGACAAATGGACCTACTAAATGTCTATAAAACCTTTCACCAAAACTCAAGAGTATATCTTCTTCACAGCACCCCATGGAACCTTCTCAAAAATGGACCATATAATCAGACACAAAACAAGCATCAACAGAGACAACAAGATTGAAATAATCCCTTGTATTTTATCAGACCACCTGGCCTAAAACAAGACCTCAACAACAATGGAAATAACAAAAATCCTACATGTGAATGGAAACTAAACAACTATCTACTCAACAATAGCTAGATCAGGGAAGAAGTTAAAAAAATGAAGACTTCCTAAAATTCAATGAAAATGAAGGCAAAAATTACCCAAATTTATGAGACACAATGAAAGCAGTACTAAGAGGAAAGTTCATACCACTAATTGCCTTCAGAAAGAAGTTTGAGACATCTCATACAAGCAACTTAACAGCACACCTGAAAGCCCTAGATAACATCCAAGAGGAATAAACAGTTGGAAATAATCAAACACAGAGAAAAAAAATCAATAAATAGGAAACAAAGAAAACATATCAAAGAATCAATGCAACCAAGAGCTGGTTCTTTTAGAAAATCAGCAAGATAAACAAACCCTTAGTCAAACTAACTAAAAGTCAAAGAGACACTATCCAAATCAACAAAATCATAAATGAAGAGGGGGACATAAAAACAGGCACTGAGGAAATACAAACAATCATGAGGTCTTGCTTCAAAAGACTATATGCCACAAAATTTGAAAATCTAAATGAAATATCCTATATTATATATCTAATATCAACTTATAAGTGATCATATACCATGTGTGTCTTTTTGCTTTTGGGTTAGCTCACTCAGGATGATCTTTTCTTGTTCCATCCATTTGCCTTCAAATCTCATGATGTCTTTGTTTTTAATTGCTGAGTAGTATTCCATTGTGTAAATGTTCTACAATTTCTATATCCTTTCCTCTGTTGAGGGCCATCTAGGTGGTTTCCAGATTCTGGCTATTACAAATAAAGCTGCTACAAACATAGGTGAGCAAATGTCCTTGATGTATCGTTGAGCATATTTCAAATATATGCCCAGGAGTGGTATAGCTGGATCTTGAGGCAGCACTATTCCTAATTTTCTGAGCAAGTGTCAGATTGATTTCCAGAATGGTTGTACAAGGTTACATTCCCACCAGCAATGGGGGAGGGTTCCCCTTTCTCCACATCCTCTCCAGCATGTATTGTCACTTGAGTTTTCGATCTTAGCCATTCTGAGGGATGAAATATCTGGGTCATTTTGATTTGCATTTCTCTGATCACTAAAGATGCTGAGCATTTTTAAGTGACTCTCTGCCATTTCATATCCTCTGTTGAGAATACTTCGTTTATCTCTGTACCCCATTTTTAAATTGGATTACTTCGTTCTTTGGTGTTTAACTTCTTGGGTTCTTTATATATTCTAGATATGAGCCTTCTGTCAGACATATTGTTGGTGAAGATGCTTTCTTGGTCTGTAGCTTTTCATTTTGTTCTAACTACAATGTCCTTTGCTTTTCAGTTTCATGAGGTCTCATTCATTGACTGTTGATCTTAGAGCCTATATTGTTGGGTTGTTTTTTTTTTTTTTCAGGAAGTTTTCCCCTGTGCTAATAAGGTCAAAGCACTTCCCTACTTTTTTGTCTAACAGGTTTAGTATGTCTGGTTTTATGTTGAAGTCTTTTATCCACTTGGACTCTACTTTTGTGCAGGGTGATGAATATGGATCTATTTACATTTTTTTTTTACATGGAGAATTCCATTTATACCAGCACCAATGGTTGAAGATGCTATTTTTTTTTCAATTTTATGGTTTTGGCTTCTTTGTAAAAAATCAAGTATCTGTAGATGTTTAGGTTTATTTCTTGGTCTTCAATTAGATCCCATTGTTCCACCAATCTGTTTCTATGCCAGTACCATGCATTTTTTTTTTTTATTTTTTTTTATTTTTTATTTTTAGTTACATTTTGTTAACTCTGTGTCCCAGCTGTATCCCACTCCCTCATTCCCTCCCCAACCCCACACTCCCTCCCTGGTCTCCTCCCTGCCCCTTTCCAAGTCCCCTGATAGGGGAGGACCTCCTCCCCTTTCATCTGTCCCTGTTTTATCAGGTATCTTCAGGGCTGGCTGCAAAGTCCTCCTCTGTGGCCTAACAGACTGCTCCTCCCCTGGGGGGAGGTGTCAAACAGCCTGCCCTTGAGATCCTGTTAGAAATAGTCCGTGTTCCCCTTACTTTGGAAAACTACTTGGTTACTGAGCTACCACAGGCCACTGTTGCTCGATGGTGCAGCTTGACATCAGGGAAGGAGATACCTCTAGATGATCTGTTGTTGTACAGTTTTCTTTTAGCTATTCTTTTTTTTTCTTTCCATATGAAATTGATAATTGTTCTTTCAAGGTCTATAAGAAATTGTGTTGATATTTCAATGGAAATTGCAGTAAGTCTTTAGATTTCATTTGGTAGGATGGCTATTATCATTATGTTAATCCTACAGATCCATGAGCATGGGAGATCTTTCCATCTTCTGATATCTTTAATTTCTTTCTACAGTGACTTGAAGTTTGTTTTTGTTTTTGTTTTTCCTGCTGATTTTTCACTTGCTTGGTTAGAGTCACACCAATATACTTTATGTTACTTATGGCTAATGTGAAGGTTGCTGTTTCCTAATTTCTTTCTTAAACTGTTTGCTTGTTTGTTTTTTGTATACAGGAAGGCTTCATATTTTTTTGCATTAATTTTGTATCCAGCCACCTTGCTGAAGGTGTTTATCAGCTAAAGGAGTTCTCTGATAGAATTTTTGGGGTAGCTCATGTATACTATCATATCATCTGTGAATAGTAATACTTTGATTTCTTCCTTTCTGATTTGTATCCTCTTGATCTCCTTTAGTTGTCTTATTACTCTACATAGGACTTCAGGTACTATGTTGAAGAGATAAGGAGAGAGTTGGCTGCCTTGCCTTGTCCCTGATTTCATTGGGATTAATTTAAGTGTTTCTCTGTGTAGTTTGATGTTGGCTATAGGATTTCTGTGTATTGCCTTTGCTATGTTTAGGTATGTGCCATGTATCCCTGATCTCTCCAAGATGTTAAAGGTGAACAGATGTTAGATTTTATTAAATACTTTTTTGACACCTAATGAGATGATCATGTGGGTTTTTTTGTTTTATTTTTTTCCTTCAGCTTGTTTATATGGTAGATTACATTGATGCATTTCCTGTATTTTGAACCACTCCTGCAATGCCTTGGATTAAGCTTACTTGGTCATCGTGGGTGACATCTTTTATGTGTTCTTGGGTTCTGTTTGCCAGTATTTTATTGAGTATTTTTTAGTTAATGTTCATAGGAGGATAGGTCTGAAGCTCTCTTTTTTTGTTGGGTTTTTGTGTGGTTTAGGTATCAAAGTGACTGTGGCTTCATAGAATGAAGTTGGTAATGTTCTTTCTGTTTATATTTTGTGCAATAAGAGTATTGGAGTTAGGTCTTCTTTGAGGGACTGGTAAAATTCTGTGATGAAACCATCTGGCCCTGGGCTTTTGTGTAAGGGGGACTTTTGACAACTGTTTTTATTTTCTTAGAAGATATGGGACTATTTAATTTATTTACCTGATCTTGATTTAACTTTGGTAAGTGGAATCTAACAAAAAAAAATCATCATTTCATTTACATTTTCAAATTTTGTAACACATAGGCTTTTGAAATAAAACCTAATGATTCATTGGATTTCTTCAGTCTCTGTCGTTTTCCCCCACATTTCATGTCTGATTTTGCTAGTTTCTCTTTGCCGTTTAGTTAGTTTGGCTAAAGGTTTGTCTATCTTGTTGATTTTCTCAAAGAACCAGCTCCTGGTTTCATTGATTCTTTGAATTGTTTTCTTTGTTTATAATTTATTGATTTCTGCCCTGGGTTTGTTTATTTCCAGTAGTCTACTCCTCTTGGGGAGTGTTATGGAAGAAGTGGGAGACAGAAAGAGTGAAAGGGGACAGGAGCTCCACAAGAAGACCAAAATATCTGGGCCCATGGGGGCCTGCAGAGACTGATACTCCAACCAAGGACCATGCGTGGAAAGGACCTATACCCCCTGTTCAGATTTAGGACATAGGCAACTCAGTCTCCCAGTGGGTTACATAATAAGGGGATTGGGGCTGTCTCTGACATGGACTCAGTAGCTGGCTCTTTGATTATCTCTCCCTAGGGGGTGCAGCCTTGTCAGGACACAGAGGAAAATGATGCTGCCAGTCCTGATGAGACCTGATAGGCTAGGGTCAGATATAAAGGAATGAGGACTCCCCTCTATCAGTGACTAGAGAGGGTCTTATGGGGAGAAGAGGGCGTGAGGGTGGGACTAGGACAGCCAAGATATGAAGGAAATAAATTGTAATAATAAATAAATAAATAAATAAATAAATAAATAAACAAATAGATAGATAGATAGATAGATAGATAGATAGATAGATAGATATTTTAAAGAGGCAGAGTAATATTTAAAGGCAAGTGAACTTTTTACTTGCCAAACTCCAGTAGAAAAGAATATATGATATAATCATAATAAAATATTAAAACTGTGGTAAACATAGAAATTAGTATAATGCAATTACTTACAACACTGAACAAATGCTACTTTCCAAAAGTACTTTCAATGGTAAAGTTAAATAAATTATAGAGTTATATATCATTGTTCATGAACATAATTAAATACTGTTCATTATGAAAATTTTTCTTTTATTATTGATGGCTCCAAGTTACCAAATAATGATAATTTTATGTAGTTATATGGATTTAAATTTTCTTCACAGGAACTCCATTCTCCAACAGTGAAAATTACTGCATATCCACAAACCACCATTAGTAGATACATAGTACAAAACCCTGAACAGGTAAGGTGTCTCCTTTTCTGGTGGGTAAGTAAGTCAGTTACCAGATCCTTAAATGTAGATCTAGCCTATCTTCCAGTTAGAAAGTAAACCTCTAACCATTAATATAAAACTCTATTTTTAATTTCAGGTAGCCATATACCCATACATTCTGACATAAAGAAACAAAAGTTCCAAACAGCCTGGCTGCTATAATAATTTCATTTCTATAGCCCCACTCTTGCACTGCAGGGACTTTGTGCACTTTGAACCGGAATGAAAAGGGACAAAGGTCTTCACAGGTTTCCCATAAAAATCTACCAGCCATCACATCAGGAGTTGGAAGTTTTAGGTTCTTTTTTTTTTTT